TACATATTCAGCCAAGTCCCTCTGTTGTCTGTCATAGAGGACACTGATTGTGGTTGGCTAAGTTAGCGAAGTAGAGAAGTACTAAATCTTCATTTTTTTTTCCATGAATATTTATTGAGGGCCTACTATCTGTTAGGCACTAAGCCAGGCACTGGGAGTTCAGTTGAGAGCAGAGGGAGCCTGCTTTGATGGAGCATACATCCTAGTGGGAAGGGAATGTTAAAAAGTTAAATGACTACAGAAAACTGGCAACTAATGTTGTATTTTAAAATGAAAATGAAAGACTGAATGCTTTCCCCCTAAAATCAGGAACAAGGTCAGGGCATCTACTCTTACCATGCCTATTCAACACCGTATTGCAAATCCTGGATAGAGCAATAAGGCAAGAAAATGAAATATAATTCATATGTTAGGGAAGGAAGAAATTAAGTTATTCCTATTTATAGACAATATGTGCTTGTCTACATTAAAAACAAAAACAGGCCTGGTACAGGAGATCATGTCTGTAATCTCATCACTTTGGGATGCCCAGGCAGGAGGATTACTTGAGGACAAAAGTTAGAGACCAGCCTGGGAAACATAGTGAGAGCCTATCTCTACAAAAAAATTAAAAAAAACTAGCTGGAATGGTGGCATGTACCTATAGTTCCAGCTACTTGGGAGGCTGAGGTGGGAGGACTGCTTGAGCTCAGGAATTTGAGGCTGCAGTGAACTATGATTGCACCACAGCACTCCAGCCTGGGCAACAAGGTGAGACTCTATCTCAAAACAAAAACAAAACAAAAATAATAAAAACACCCCAAGTAATCTATCAAAAAAATCCTCTTACAATTAAAGTGATTTTGTGAGATCACAGGAGACAAGGTCAATACACAAAAATCAACTGAATTTCTGTAAACTAATAAACAGGTGGAGACCAAGATTTCAAAAGGCCAGGTGTGGTGGCTCATGCCTATAATCCCAGACTTTGGGAGGCTGAGGTGGGGAGGTCAACTGAGGTTGGGAGTTCAAGACCAGCCTGACCAACATCGAGAAACCCCGTCTCTACTAAAAATACAAAATTAGCAGGGTGTGGTGGCACATGCCTGTAATCCCAGCTACTCGGGAGGCTGAGGCAGGAGAATCGCTTGAACCCAGTTGGGTGGAGGTTGCAGTGAGCCGAGATCACACCCTTGAACTCCAGACTGGGCAACAAAAGCAAAACTCCAACTCAAAAAAAAAAATTATGATATCGTAAAAAAAGGAAATACTAGGTTATCCAAAATCCTAAATGAAACTATAGAATCCCGGCCTGAGAACTATAAAACAGCTGGGCATGGTACGCACGATGCCTGATGGTCCCAGCTCTTGGAGGCCTGAGGCAGAAGTATCAACTAAGCCCAGGATTTGAGGCTAGCCTGGACCAACATAGCAAACGCCATTTCAAAAAAGATTAAAACTATAAAACACGACAAACATCCAATAAGTCCCTCAACCTAGCGACTACTATGGCGGCATGAACTAAAGAAGCAACTCCACATAGGTAAGTTCTCCCTGTAGTCGATTTAAATGCATTTCCAATAACCAATCCTCAGTACGGTTTTTTCCCTAGATAATACGACAACGCATGATTTCTGAAAGTTTTTATGAAAGCACGCAAAGGAACTAAAGACTAAACACTTTCAAATATAAGAAAAAAGTGGCAGGAATTACACCTTCTAAGACTTAGTAAAAAGCCTTACAATAATTGATCGTTGTAGTATTGGGTGAAGGGGTGGAACACAGATCAGCCTTGCAGAACAAATAAACATGCAGACCTTACAAATACAGGCCCCATCAACATTTCTTGGAATAGGTGATACAAGCCAAACTCTCAATGGTCAAATCGAACAGGTCCCCTTCAACCAATAAGTGTTGGCGAGTGAAAACCACGGCAAAAAAAAGAATCAAGCTAAATTTCACCATCTTATAATAATAGCACCCAACTACTCTAAATGGTATTCACAGATCCTGAACGTCATACACCTCTTAGGGCAAGGATTCCTAGGAACTGGCAGAGAGGAATCACCACGGATGTCTCCTCCCTCTCTATAGAACAACAATACTGCACTGCAGAACTGTCTCGAATCCCACACTAGTTTCGAACCTCTGGATCATTGAAGGCTTGACCAAGTTCCCAGGGGAGAGGCTTCCCGGAACAGTAAAAATTGCGTATTAAATCTTGGATCCCACCTATCAGCCTAGAAACAGTACACTACCCATTCCACCACGTCACCCCTATTGGCGACAGCTGTCAATTTTCCCTGGGAGGTAGCCCTGCACACAGCCTTACAGGAGCCAGGATGGCCAAAAGAACCCTGTCCCCTCCCAAACTTCCAGGGTTTTATGCTCTGTTAACTGGCTTCCTGAAACCGAGATGTACGAACCAATAATGCAGGTGGCCATTGTTTCGCACCCTTCTCCAATTCATTTTTTTTTTTTTTCGAGACGCGTGTCCTCGCTCTGTTGCCCATGCCTGGAGTGCCATGTCGGCCGGTTCGCTCACTGCAAGACTCCCGCCTTCCGTTGTTGACTGCCATTCTCCTCACCTGCCTCACTCCCCCAGTAAGCTGGACTACAGCGCGCCCGCCGCACCTGTCGCCTGGCTAGTTTTTTGATTTTATTAGTAAGAACTGGGGTTTTCACCGTGTTAGCCAGGGGTCTGATCTCTCGCTGACCCTCGTGTCCCGCCCTCTCGCTCCAAAGTGCTGGGATTACAGCTTGAGCCACCCACCGCGTACCATCTCCCATCATTTTTTATTTTTATTTTTATTTTTGAGATGGAGTCTTGCTCTGTTGCCCAGCCTGGAGTGCAGTGGCGCAATCTTGGCTCACTGCAACCTCTGTCTCCTGGGTTCCAGCAATTCTCCTGCTTCTTCTCCAGCAATTCTCCTGCTTCTGCCTCCTGGATAGTTGGGATTACAGGCCACCATGCCCAGGTAATTTTTGTATTTTTAGTAGAGACGGGGTTTCATCATGTTAGCCAAGGTGGTCTCAAACTCCTGACCTCAGGTGATGCACCCACCTTGGCCTCCCAAAGTGCTGGGATTACAGGCATGAGCCACCACACCTGGCCAACACCTTCTCCCATTGTTGCAAGCTCCTCCCCCTCTGTTGAACTAACTTATAGGGGATTTAAAGGGATGAAGGCCCCCTTTTAAAAAAAATCAACTCTTCATTTCTTTCTTTTCCCCCTTTTTGGAGCCAGATATTAAAGACTAGGACATTCAAAAACAATTACATACATGGGCAAATTTGAAAATGAATGCCCATGCATGATCAGAGAAAGGCACAGGCTCAGAATAGATCTCAGAAGACCTCACATTTATACCTCAGGCTGATCCTTGGCACAGAGAGCCTACAACAATAATTAAAAAAAAAATTTACCAAACCCAGCAAACCTTGATGAAGGGGAAGAATCTGATTTCTAGAATTACCACATTATTAGATTGAAATGTTCAGTTTTCAACAGCAACAAAAATCACAAGACATACAAGAAACACAAAAGCACGGTCCATCCAAAAAATAAATCAACAGAAACTGTTCCTGAAAAATAACTGATGGCAGATCTACCAGATAAAGACTTTAAAACAACTGTCTTAAAGATGCCCAAAGAACTAAATAAAGATATGGAGATAGTCAAGAAAGAGATGTATGAACAAAATGGGAATAACAATAAAGAGACAGTAAGCCTAAAGTGAAAGTAAAAAGAAATTCTGGAGCTGAAAAGTACAATAACTAAAATGAAAAATTCACTTTAGGATTCAAAGACAGTTTTGAGGAAGCAGGAAAAAGAATCAGCACATTTGAAGACAGGACACTGGAAGTAATCAAGTCTAGGGAATAGAAAGGAAAAAGATTGAGGAAAGTGAATAGAGCCTAAAGGACCTGTGGAACACCATTATACACATAGTAGGAGTCCCAGAAGAATAAGAGAGAGAAAAGGGGAAAGAATATCTGAAACTTGGCTAAAAACTTCTGAAATTTGATGAAAGACATGAATATGAACATCCAAGAAGTTCAATGAACTCCAAGTAAAATAAAGAAACCCACACCAGGATACATTATAATCAGACTCTCAAAAGTCAAAGACAAAAAGAGAATCTTGAAGCAGCAACAAAGAAGTGACTCACATAAAATACATTTTTTTTTTTTTTAAATTAAAGACATAGGGTCTTCCTTTGTTGCCCAAGCTGATGTTGAACTCCAGATCTCAAGCAATCCGCCTGCCTTGGCCTCCCAAAGTGCTCGGATTTCAGGTGTGAAATCCCACTGCATCCCACTACAAGGGATCCTTAATGAGATTATTAGCAGATTTCTCATCAGAAATTTTGGAGACCAGAGGCAGTGGGACAACATATTTAAAATGTTAAAAGAAAAACAAAAATCAAACAAGAATACTATATCCGGAAAAACTGTCCTTCAAAAGTGATGGAGAAAGTAAGACATTCCTAAATAAACAAAAGCTGAGGGAATTCACTACCACTAGACTTGTCCTGTAAGAAATGCTCCAAGGGTGTCCTGCAAAGTAAAATAAAGAACAGTAGACAGTAACTTGAAACCATATGAAAAAATGAAGATCTCAATAAAGGCAATTATAAGAGCTAGTATTATTGAAACAACAGTTTGTAAGTTTACTTTGTGACAAAATTTAAGAGACTGCTTTAAAAAACAATTATTAGTCTAAAAGCTAAAATTATTATAACTTTAGATTGTAATGCCACATTTGTTTTCTACATAATTTAAAAGACTAACACATTTAAAATAATTATTAGTTTCTATATTGGGGCACAAAATGTATAAAGACGTAATTATGTGATATCAATAATCAAAAGGGATGCAGATGCAGCTGTAAAGGAGCAGAATTTTTGTATGTTTTTGAAGTTAAGCTGTTATAAATTCAAATTCGAGTGTTTTAACTTTAGGATGTTAAATGTAATCCCCACGGTAACCACAAAGAAAATACAATAGTCCCCCCTTACCTGTGGTTTCACTTTCTGTAGTTTCAGTTATCCACAATCAACCGCAGTCTGGAAATATTAAATGGAAAATTCCAGAAATAAACAATAAGTTTTAAATTGTATGCTATTCTGAGTAATGTGATGAAATCTCGTGCTATCCTGCTCCATCCTGCCTGGGACATGAATCATCTCTTTGTCCAGTGTATCCACACCATATCTGTTACCTGTCCATCAGTCACTTGGTAGCCATCTTGGTTATCTAATTGACTGCTGTGGTATCACAGCGCCTGTGTTCAAGGAATCTTTATTTTACTTAATAATGACCCCAAAATGCAAGAGTAGTGATGCTGGCAATTTGGAGAGGTCAGATAAAAGGCAATTTGGAGAGAACAAAGCAGTAAACTGCTTCAAGTGAAAAGGTGAAAATTCTCAACAAGGAAGAAGAAGCATATGCTTATATTGCTAAGATCTATAGTACGAATGAAAATTCTATCCATGAAATTCTGAAGGAAAAAAAATTGTCATAGTATATGGAGGGTTCAGTACTATCCCTGGTTTCCAGCATCTACTGGGGGTCTTGGAACATATCCTATATGGATAAAGGAAGGACTACTGTAGTTGTAGTATAAAAGAAAATGTACCAAAGAAAATGAGAAAGGAATTTAAATGTTTCACTATGGAAAATCAACTAACACAAAATAAGATAGTAGTGCAGAAAAATGAGGAACAATACAACTCTAAGGCATCTAGAAAACAACAGAATGACAGAACTAAGTCCCTTCTCATCAGTAATCACTTTAAATGTTAATTAAATGCCCCAATCAAAAGACAGTGATTGGCAGAATGGATAAACAGAAAATCTGATCCAACTATATGTTGTCTACAAAAGACTGACTTTAGATTTAAAGACACAAACAGATTGAAAGTAAAAGGGCAGAAAAAGATGTTTCATGCAAACAGTAACCAAAAGAGAGCAGGAATGGCTCTATTAATATTATATAAAATAGATTTTAAATCTAAAAAGGTTACAAGAGATAAGGACATTATATATTAATAAAATGCTCAATATAGCAAGAAGATAGAACAGTTATATACATTTATGCACCTAACAACAGACCATGAAAATATATAACACTTTCAGAAGAAAACAAAAAATCTTAATGACTTGCGGTTAGACAAAGATTTCTTAGCTGTGACACCAAAAGCCTGATCCACAAAAGGTAAAACTGATAAATTAGACTTCATTAAAATGAAAAACTTTTGCTTGTGAAAGATCCTTTGCTTGGAAAGTTAAAAGATAAGGCACAGACATGAGAAGATATTTGCACATCACTAACACATAAGCAACAAAGGAGCTTTATGTATCCAGAATATGTAAAGAACTCTCAAAACTGAACAGTAAGAAAATGACCAATGAAATGACCCAACTAAAAAATAGGCAAAAGGTTTGAATAGACGCTTCACCAAAAAGTATATGCAGATGGCAAATAAGCATACGAAAAGATGTTCAACATCATTAGCCATTAGAGGAATGCAAACTAAAACCACAATGTGATACCACCACATACCTATTAGAATGACTAAAACAAAAAATAGTAATACCGTTAAGTGCTGGTGAGGATGTGGAGTAAGTGGAAACTCTCATATGTTGTTGTTGGAAATGCAAAATAGTATAGCCACTTTGGAAAATGATTTGGCAGTTTTGTATTAATTTCAACATATAGTTACCATGTGACCCAGAAATCTCACTCCTAGTTACTTATCCTAGAGAAATAAGAACTTGGCCAGGTGCGGTGGCTCACGCCTGTAATCCCAGCACTTTGGGAGGCCGAGGCAGGTGGAACCCAAGGTTGGCAGATCCTGAGGTCAGGAGATCGAGACCATCCTGGCTAACATGGTGAAACCCCATGTCTACTAAAAATACAAAAACAAAATTAGCTGGACGTGGTGACGGGCACCTGTAGTCCAAGATACTCGGGAGGGTGAGGCAGGAGAATGGTGTGAACCCAGGAGGCAGAGCTTGCAGTGAGCCAAGATTGCGCCACTGCACTCCAGCCTGGGTGACAGAGTGAGACTCAAAAAGAAAAAAAAAAAAAGAAATAAGAACTTGTATTCACACAAAAACCTGTACATGAGAGTTTATTGAAACTTTATTCATAGTGGCCCAAAGCTGGAAATAATCCAATGTCCAACAGGAAAATGGATAAACTATTGTATAAGCGCACAGTGAAGTACTGTTTATCAATAAAAAGGAATGATCTATTGATACATGCAACAACATGGTTAAATATCAAAGGCATATGCTGCATGAAACCAAACATACAATATGATTCCATTTGTATGACATTCTGGGAAGACAAAACTGTGATGACAGAGAACAGATCAGTGGGGTTGCCAGGGATTAGAGATGGAGAAAGTTTGAACGCAAAGGGATAGTATGAGGGAGTTTTTGAGGGGTGATGAAACTGTTGTGTTTCCTGATTGTGGTGGTGGTTACATGAATCAATTCATAAGTTAAAATTCATAGAACTGTATGCCAAATAAAGATCAATTTTACTGTATGTTAAATTGAAAAGTAAAAAAAAAAGTTACAGGAATGAATGTATACTCACAAACTGAAATAACTACTTTGAAGGAAATGAACATTCCATGAGAGCCTAAGAGAGAGGAGGGACACTGTTATGTGATGAAGGAAAGCATCAGGAATGTTTTCCCTGAGGAAGTGAGGCTTGAGTTGGGTTCTAAAGAATGATTTAGAATTTACTTGGGCTAAAGGAAGGTTGATTCTCACAGAAGGATTTGCATGTGCAAAGGCCCCAGAGTAGGAGGAAGATGGCTCATTTTCATCTAAAAAGGACTAGAGCACAGGGAGTTCCCTGGAGGGTGGGAGAAGTGGTGATGGGGAGTGAAAAAAATCTAACCTGTAGTAAGAGTCATTATGCGTGACTGCTCTAGGTGGGGCCTAGGTTAGGGCCAGTGGAGAGGTGTAGCTGTGGGCTGGCCTTATAACTTCACTGACAGTTGGAACATCTTGCAGAGACCTGGGCAATTAGACCCCCCAGGACAATGCTGGACCTGGGACTGGATTCTCAGTAGTCCTTGCAGGAGGCGGTCTGCTCCCAAACCCAAAGATTCCAGACACCCTGCAGGGCCACATTTACGATAGACCCTAAAGTGCCCTCTCCTGAGGCCCCTGTCTTGTTCAGGAGAATATTGACAGCTCAGTAATATACACTAAGCTTTCTGAGGGGCTTAAGGACTTTGAGAGATAAGACAGTCTGGCTTTTATAGACTACCACAAGGCCCCAGTGATGTAGTTGTTTACAGAAATACTTGTGTCAATAATCAGGTATTTTTCAGATGTGGGCAACAAATCCCCATCACCCTACCCTGAACCACTTTACTGTCCCCCAGGCTCCAAGCCCAGTGCCCTCTCCCCATTTCCAGGCCTCAGGGCCTGCCTTATCCAGGGCTGGGGATGGAGGCTAGAGAGTGACACAGATCAACTTATAAGTTGTCAGTTGGCCATTTAATGGAAGTCTACACCGAATAATCCTTTGCCAAGTGAATAGCCCCGGAATTTGTTTTGTGGTGTAATAAGGGTTGCCAAATGCCTTAGTTTACATACAACAGCCTGGCATATATTCAGTGAGGCATGACTCTAGGCACTTTATGGGTCAAATTTAGGCAGTTGTCATGATTCCTATTTCAGAGATGAAGAAACTGAGGCCTTGGTCAGTGACTTGAAAAGTCACATAGCTAGAAAATGGCCAAGATTTGGATCCAGGACTGCCTAACTTCAATGTTCTGGCTCACTGATTCTCAAACATTAGTATTTGGGTCGTGAGATGGAAATTTACCAAAAATGCAGATTCTCGCTCCCATCTGGGCCGGGAAATCAGCATTCCAAACTTTAAATTAGGGGACTCCAGGGGTCTGTCTCTCTCCACCTGAAGAATTTAGGGGATTTTGCGAATGACCTGAAGCCTGAGAGGAAGTGCAACACTGCAGGGCTCTCAGGAGAGGGTACCCTGCTGACCCCTGTGACTAGGCCTAACCGTCTGGGTTCTGTGGCCCAGTGCTCTAGACTCTCACCTGCCCGGAGGTGCGCTTGGGGTCCAGATTGGCTGATGAATATGTATATCCGCAGCGCCTCCTTCACTCCGAAGACTTTCACTTTCCCCCTTGCGCAAAACCGAACATCCCACCCCACCCCCACCTCCAAGCTAAAATACCTGGGCCACCCCTCCCCACGAAGGGACGCGCTCCAGGCGAATGGGGAGGGCCCGGAAGTCCGGCCCGGGACGGAGGAGCCGGCCCACCGCCTCCCGGTCGGAAGCGGCAGTGCAGGTGAGGCCGCGGCCAGCCTCGGGACTGCGCGGGTAAGGAGCGGGAGGGCCGACTGCACCGCGAAGTTGGCGGGGGACGGCCGCGCACGCCTCGTCTCGGACTTCCTGCCCCGTAGAGGCTGGCCGCCCTCCCGCCACCCCAGGGCACCTGCCGACCACGTCTGGGCGGGGGCGGGCCGGCTCCCGCCCTCGGGCCCTCACCCCACCCCGGCCAGCCGCGGCGGGGACGTCGGGTCAGCGAAGGGTTAAGGGACTTGCTCCCTCTTCTCGGCTCCCTCACCCTTGGAAAGTCCCCGAAATGACGTTTCAACCCGACAATTTAAAAAAGAGTTTAATTATAGAGACAGGCTCTGGGAGCTGGAACAAACTCTCGGTCGGCGGGGCCGGTAAACAACTCGGGAGCGAGCGGGCTAGGCCAGCCGCAGCCTTGCGGAGCCCGCGCCCCTGGGGAGAGGGGGAGGGGAGGGCCGCCGGGAGTTGGAAAAGCCGAGGAAATTCGAGGAATCAGCTTTCTTTGGAAAAACCCACTTTGTAGCCATTCTGGGGCGCCTGATGGTGCTCCTGGCCGGTCCCGCAGCCTTGGAGCGAAAGCGGCGCCGCCCGATGCAGGGGCACAGCCGGTGCCCCGCGGGGACAGGCCCTGGGCCGGGAAGGGTCCCCGCCCGCTCCCAGTCCCCTTCCCCTTTGCTTTTTTCCAGCCCCTCCTCCGGTCCCCCAAGCTGAGCTTCGCGAACCCTCGGGAGTTAAAGACCCGCCGGCCCTTTCTTTTTGGGGGGTGGGGGAGCGGGAATGGGTGGAGGCCGGGGGAATAAAAAACCGAAATAGCTTCACATCAGAACTCAGACTAACCTTGTGGTTTCAACGCGCACCCTGCTCTGTCCTGAAATCTGGAACTCATTACCTCATCACCAAGAAACTGCACGAAATCTTCCCCCCCGCCCCAACACCCACTTGGGCTGGGAAAAGAACGAGCAAACATCCCTGTAAGAAAGAAACCTACACTTGAATGATTTAAATTAAGGTGGATGGAAGTTATTTCCCTTTCTGGCGCTTGCCAGATTTCAAGAAAAGCTGAAAAATGGGAGCAGGGGGAGGGAAGCAACAGGCGGCTGCAGGGCAGCAGCCGGGTTAAAGTGGGGGCCATCCATTTCAGGCAGAAGAGACGAACGAAAGCCGACGCCGCTGGGATCACGTAGGTTCGTGGCTGCAGCAAACGTTGTGTTTCGCAAAGTTGAAAAACAACCGGTTTCTCAAACAGTTGTGATTTGGAAGGTTTCGCTGGGTTTGCCCAGATGTTGATGAATAAATAAGAAATGCATTAAAAAAAAAAAAAAAAGTGTGTGTTGGGGGTGGTGAGAGTGTGACTCGAGCGCTCTCTTCTGCCCGCCCCGTCCTTTCCAAAGAAACGTGCTCATGATGGGGTGACCTAATTACATCGCAATGGAACTCAATCTTAGCCACACCAGCACCGGGTTTCATAACAGACTCGGCGGCCTCGAGTGCTGGGAAGAAACGTGCGAGGGCCGAGGGGGCGGCGGGGCCCGCGTGGAAATCGGAAAAAAGCGCAGCCCTGCGACTTCCGCCCGGGTCATCACACCAGCACTCGGGCCAAGGCGCAAGGGGCGGGTGGGGGACACGATAACTTTTTATTTGGGTGGGTGGCATCCAAACCTAACAGTATATATTTTATCATTTTCAAGGGAGTCATGCTCCATTGCGGGCCCTTCGGTTTCGTGGCTCCCATGCCCCCCACTCCACCTCCCGCCAAAACGGCGCAGCGTGACAAGCCATACGTTCCACTCCCGTGGGGGCGAGAGAGAAGTAACAAGTTTAAAGTGCCGCCTCCGTCCACCTCTTTACCTTCATCCTTACCAAAGTAACCTTTTTTCATTGTTCTAGAGTCTTGAGGTGTGTGGGGGGAGGATGGAGGAGGAGGGAGGGTTGTGGCGCCGCCTAGAATTCAGAGCGCGCGTGGAAAGTAGTGAGTTAGTTGCTCGGTGGGCTTTTTCTGGGAGGAAAGGGCATTCAGGAAGGATTAGGGTTTTCTTGACTAAAGTTTAAAGATTGGATGCGTGAAAAGAAACGCCGCGCCTAGGCCTGGTAAAACAATCGGCCCTGGTTGTGGTCTTTTTTTGCGACGCCCCCCACCCGCCCACACCCGGAGAGCGCCGGCTGCAAAGCGAGCGCGAGTATCGACGCGTGCGGCGCGCTAAACTGTGCCGCGCTCGCCCCCGCCAGGCCGTGTCCTCCTGGGGGAAAAAGTTTCCCTAGTTCCCCCCGCACCGCGCCCCACCCTACGCCCCGCTGGAAAAAAAAACAGCAACATAAAATCCTAGACTTGAACGTTCTGTGCGTCCCAAATTTCTAATGTCCTCGGCCTGCCGGGTTAGCGGAGGGGAGGCGAGTGTAGAAGAGAAGTCGGGAAAAGGTAAGTTGTGCAGACACTTGGGGAAGTTTCAAGGGGATCACCAGCTCAAGATGGAAACCGCGGACCGGGCGCTAAGGACGGGCTTCAGCTCCCGCTGGCAAAAAGAGAAAGTCGAGCCCGCCTTCCTGCCCAACAAAAAACAACAACACGACAACAAGAACCCCGGAGGGAGTGGAATGAGTGACGTCACAGCCGCGCTCTGAGGCTGACAAAGGAGGGGGCGCGCCCCTCCCGCTCTGCGCCCGCGCAGTCCCGGAGAGGGGCGCCTGAAGCGCGGGGTAGGGAAGTCAGCCGACTCGAAACTTTTCCTCTTTAAGAAAAAAAAAAAGTTGTGCGCGGCTCGGAGTGGGGTTTTTTTTTTTTTTTTTCCGCCTTCTTTTCTCGTCTCCCCTCCCCCTTCTTCCTTTTGAAAGTTTCTTCTCCTCCCCCTGCCCCCGCTCCCCGCCTGACCGCATGGCTGATTCAACTCCAGTGTCAATCAACTTCTTTTTCCTCCTCTTCCTCATTTAAATAAGTTTAAAGCTCCTCCTCCCCCCGGCCCACCAAATCAGAAACTTTATAAATTGGGCTTTGCGCGCCCCAGCCCCGGAGTCAGAAAGGCGAGGGGCGCCGGGAACGGGCGTGTGGGACTCCAGACAGGAGAGGCTGCGCCTTCCCCGCATCGGGACCTTCGCGACACACCAGATCCTCGCCCCTGGCCCGCGCGAGCGCACAGAATGACCACCACCCTCGTGTCTGCCACCATCTTCGACTTGAGCGAAGTTTTATGCAAGGTAAAGGGGGGCGGAGCATTTGCTTTTCAAAAAGTCTTTTTCTTTTGCCTTAAAAAATAATCCCCAAAAGTTTGGGTCTTGGAAGGCAGTGAGGTAAGTGGTGCAAGCGAGATGATTCTTTTCTCCTCCCGCATTTCTCCCAAGTTTGAAGGAATTTGGCCTCGTCCTTCCCACCCTTTGAGTTTCAACAGTTCCTGGCGGGGATTACATGTGAATCTGGAGGCCAGGGTTTTGAGGGGCGAAGTTTGCCTGGCAGGGCAGCCCGGGGGCCTCGGGGGGAGGGCTGAGATTGGGACAAGTTTTGGGCGATTCTTTTTTACGTAACGTGCTGCTGGATCCCAGGTTCGCTGGTCTGATCGGGTTCCCAGTGTGCGTCCTAGGTCTGTCCAGCAGCATTACCCACCCGTGGGGTTGGGAGTGGGAGATCCCTCGGGGAAGTGAGTCTCGGGACGTTGTTTTCCTCCACTCTTTGCGGGGTGCTGGGGCTATGCGAGGAAGAAAGGCCAAGTTGTGATTCAAAAAGATGTTGCAGAACAAGTTTGCAGTGGGGCTTGAGTCGGTCCTAGCTCCGTTGGGCTTCTTCCCGCGATAGCCGATCGTGCAGCAAACTTTGGGGTGAAAGAGGCATTCAGGTTGACCCGCTTACCTGTGTTGCAGAGGCATTGCGGTTCATCGATTGCGGCGGGGGGGGGGGGGGGGGGGGGGGGGGGGGGGGGGGGGGGGGGGGGGAGGGGGGGGGGGCGGGTGGCGACGAAATGCTGGCTTGAACTCAAGAGTCCCCCGAGTAAGGATTTAATGGGGGCCTCCTTAAAACATGTTGCTTGTCAGCCAGTGTTGAAAAAGCAAGTTTTAAGCTCGGAATGTTCCAGGACTGCGGTTTAAATATACATAGCAAAAGCCTACGGATGTTGTTAAATTTCTTTCCAACCTCCCCCTCCCAATTTGAAAGGGTGAAGCTGCTGGGCTACTTTTTAATTGCTGAAGTGTTCTGCCTTCTCTTAACACGTCGGGTCATGTTGCTCTGTTTTCCCAGCTTGCTGCTCCTGTTGGTGCAGCTGCCAACGCCCCAGGGCTTCAGGGTTGGGGTGCAGGGACGCCGAGGAGCTGAAGAGTAACTTTAAAAAAGTTTGAATTTTTCAGCTTCCTTCCCTCCCTGCACATTCCCAAACTCCACTTGCCGGCCCGGCTGCCAGAGCTCCCCAACACTTCTTCCTTCTTTTCTCGACTCTCCCAGCTCTTTGATCTATTTCTTTCTTTGGCCCCCTCCCCCCTCAGGACTTTTTAAATGAACCTCATTGTTGGGAACTAGCTCTCCACTGGGTTCCTGTAATCCTCTCGGTGGGGTGGTTGCAGTTACAGATTCCCGGTCCCCCCCCTGCTGATCCTAAGGGACCAACATTAGAATTTGCACAATGACACCCACATGGGCTGGGAACTAACTCCTAGGTTCCTGACCTGCACCCTTTCCAAATCTTGGGTATATTTGGGCAGGTGACCAGGGTCCTGGAACAGAAACCTGCCATTGGTGGCTCTGCCCCCATCCCCACCACCCCCTATCTGCTATTGACAAGGAGGTGGGTAGGGGGGTTGGTGCTTTCCTTTTCCTTTCCATCTGCAGCTTTGCGTTAAAGATTAAACACTGGAGCTCTTATCCAAGCCTGCTATTGCAGCCAGAAGACTAATTGCAAAGGCATCTTCTCAGTGAAGGGGGCGGGGTGGGCTGGGGGTGAGTGGAAGTGGTGAGAGATTATTGTAGAAAATATCTTTTCTGGGAACTTAGGGCAAAGAGTTTTATTTTCAGGAATCACATCCCTGTCTCCCTCAACCTCAGACCAGGCCCCCAATCTCCTCCCCACAAGAAAAAGCAAAGGCAGTCTGAAAACCTGTTGCCAAAGGAAGGGAACACTTCTGAAGGAGAAATTTGAGAGTCTTAGGCCAGGTCTTGAGGGAGGGGGTATCAATTAAGCAGAGACTGATTAGAAGGGGACCTAAACTAGCCTATAATAGACTCCTTTCTGAGGTTTACCTGTTTTTGTTGCGGCGGGGGGCGGGGGAGCGGGGGGCAATCTAGATAGGTCCGGGTTGTGTGAGATATTTTGAGTTGAAGAATCTGTTTGACCAGTAAAGAAGTTGAACTTTACAGATTAAAGTGGTAGCTTTGGGGACAGAGGATATGGGGGTTGCATTTCAGGAGTCAGCGTGGAGCAGTGTGCTTGTCACACAGTCTGGATCTTGTGGTGAGTGGCCTATGGGAGGGAGAGAGCGAAGGGAGCTTGCTAGAGCAGAGGTAGAGATGAGTTCTTTGAGAAGGAGCGGGCGTTTGTGATTGTGTAGGGGGCTGCCCATAGTGGACATCCTGGTGGGATTTCCTCGGTCCTTACCATCCTCTCTCTTCTCTTTCCAGGGTAACAAGATGCTCAACTACAGTGCTCCCAGTGCAGGGGGTTGCCTGCTGGACAGAAAGGCAGTGGGCACCCCTACTGGTGGGGGCTTCCCTCGGAGGCACTCAGTCACCCTGCCCAGCTCCAAGTTCCACCAGAACCAGCTCCTCAGCAGCCTCAAGGGTGAGCCAGCCCCCGCTCTGAGCTCGCGAGACAGCCGCTTCCGAGACCGCTCCTTCTCGGAAGGGGGCGAGCGGCTTCTGCCCACCCAGAAGCAGCCCGGGAGCGGCCAGGTCAACTCCAGCCGCTACAAGACGGAGCTGTGCCGCCCCTTTGAGGAAAACGGTGCCTGTAAGTACGGGGACAAGTGCCAGTTCGCACACGGCATCCACGAGCTCCGCAGCCTGACCCGCCACCCCAAGTACAAGACGGAGCTGTGCCGCACCTTCCACACCATCGGCTTTTGCCCCTATGGGCCCCGCTGTCACTTCATCCACAACGCCGAGGAGCGCCGCGCCCTGGCCGGGGCCCGGGACCTCTCCGCTGACCGTCCCCGCCTCCAGCATAGCTTTAGCTTTGCTGGGTTTCCCAGTGCCGCTGCCACCGCCGCTGCCACCGGGCTGCTGGACAGCCCCACGTCCATCACCCCACCCCCTATTCTGAGCGCCGATGACCTCCTGGGCTCACCTACCCTGCCCGATGGCACCAATAACCCTTTTGCCTTCTCCAGCCAGGAGCTGGCAAGCCTCTTTGCCCCTAGCATGGGGCTGCCCGGGGGTGGCTCCCCAACCACCTTCCTCTTCCGGCCCATGTCCGAGTCCCCTCACATGTTTGACTCTCCCCCCAGCCCTCAGGATTCTCTCTCGGACCAGGAGGGCTACCTGAGCAGCTCCAGCAGCAGCCACAGTGGCTCAGACTCCCCGACCTTGGACAACTCAAGACGCCTGCCCATCTTCAGCAGACTTTCCATCTCAGATGACTAAGCCAGGGTAGGGAGGGACCTCCTGCCTACTCCAGCCCCTTCCCTGCACCCACATCCCATACCCTCTTCTCCCTACCCTTCCAATTCCCCACAGGCCCTACATTCACAAGGTTAAGCTCAACCCCTTCCCCCAGCACCTCAGAATGCCCCCTCCCTCTCCCCCTCATAACCCCACCTAACATAAGGACAAGTCAATTTGTCAGTAGCTTCTTCTGGCTTGAAACCCCCTCCCTGGATTTTAGCCCACTTACCATGCATAACAGACAAGTCCCATATTTTGTCAGTAGATGCCTTTTTTTTCCCCCCCGGCTTAAGCCTTAAGTGCCAAATCACAAGAGAAAAGCAGTAACAGTTTACAGAAGCAACTTAGTGCCTTGTAATCTAACTTTGTCACTGTGACTACATTACCTCTTCAGCGCCAGAGGGCACCCGTGGGCCTCCCGGAGCCTCTGCCCATGGGGGGGTGGAGACCCGGAACCAGCAGCCCCCTCCACTGGCGACACAACTGCACCTTCCCTCATTTCAGTCTCCCGCACACTTATTCCTCCCCTTTTCCCGGCGGCACCTCTCCACCTGTCCCCTCTCCCCGGCCCCTTGGAAGAGTTGTTGCCAGACTAGGGTTTTGGGGGAAATCTGTCTTGACATTCAAAACCTTTTTCTTCCCGATCTGAATCCCTGTTGACTAATCTTGCCTGGGTTTGTGTAGGTCTGCAGGAAGGAAGGCTGAAAAAGCGGATGAAGATTTTGACTTAAGTGGGACTTTGTGATTTAATTTTTTCTTTTTTTTTTTTAAGTGGGGAGGAAGGGGAAGCTAGATGGACTAGGAGAGACTTGATTTTGGTGCTAAAGTTCCCCAGTTCATATGTGACATCTTTTTAAAAAAAATAACAACAAAAAAAAAAAATGAGAGAAAAGCTAAAAAAAAAAAAAAAAAAGTAAGGGGTGAGCAGTTAATGGTATTCATTCCACATACAATATCTGTGTAAAACGATTTCCTGTAGAAGTAGCTTTAATGGTTTTTGCTCTAGAATACCGTAGGTCTATCCTTAGAGCACTCACGCCATGCTTTCTTCCCTGGGTTTTAAACTTCATATAACTTTCAGAAATTGGAGAGCAAAAATTTTGCTTGTCACTGCACATCAATATAAAAAAGCTTATTTAACTTATCAAAACGTATTTATTGCCAAACTATGCTTTTTTTGTTAATTTTGTTCATATTTATCGGGATGACAAATCCATAGAATATATTCTTTTATGTTAAATTATGATCTTCATATTAATCTTAAAATTTTGTGACGTGTCTTTTTCCTTTTTTTCCACAGTTTTAATATATTATTCTTCAACGACATTTTTTTGTAACTTTACACTTTTTTGGTTATTTTATTTTAAAAAAATGAAAAATTAATTTAAAAAAATGCAAAAAACTGTTGGATTATTTATTTTAGAAATTCCCCCCTTTGTGTCGGACTGCAAATTGAGTTTCTTTCTCTTTAGGCCTTTCACAACTAGGACTGAGAATGTATGTAAAAGTTCTGTGACAGTACAGAAGGAAAACAACTTTTTATGTATAGCTTCTAA